TGCAAAGCTCCTTGTTACGCTCTCCCCCCACTCACCCCACTCCAGGGGCTCAAGGCAAGGACAAAGCCTGCTCAGTTAGCAGCTGCAGTGGGGATGGGGTCAATGAAGACCCAATAGGCTTTGGGTCTCTGGACCTACAGTTCCTAATGTCAAGTCAGATGCAGCTCACAGCACTGGAGGGATGCCTGAAACAGTTAATGCTATTCACAAATGTATTAAGGGAGATATACAGGAAATAGGCTTCCATGAGACACTGCGTCTGGCCTTCCTCAGGAGGCTAGAGAACTCTTGGAGCATTAGAAAAATAAAAATGAGTTCTGAAGCCAGGTAGATGAAGAGAGCCAAGATCCAGCTGCTTCTCTACTTCTTGTGGACGCTGCAGAAGGGCCTGGCTTTAAAGGATCTGTTGCCCCTTATGCTCATCCAGGAGAACCCCATAACTCAGGGCAGGCAGGGTATGAAGCCATTGGAAGGAGCACAGGATGGGCGTAAGGTCAGATTGTCTTTTAAAATGTGGCTAAGTCATAAATACCCATGCTAACACTCCACAACTTTCACAGAGTCCCTGTGTGTGGCCCACAGTGTCTTGGTTTCATCCCTCAGTGGTTAGGATAAAAACCACAAATTTTCTCAGGAGCTCTGCATTTTTATATCAAATGCCACTGTCAGTGACAATAGTGGGAGACTTCATGTTCGGTATGAACTGAGACATTTGCATGAATCAGCTAATTCATCACAGCCAGCCGCTATCATGACTCTCCATCCTCAGGGAAGAAGTAACCTCCAGAAAGTTCTGACACGTACATGTCCCTCTTTAGTTAGGTCTAGCTCAGCTGTGTGGTTCCTGGGTCACATGGGATAAGACTCCTCCCATTCATGACCATGATGGCGTCACTGGCCACTACAATGGGTCCCCATCCTGTAGAACTGGATTTGGGAGGAAGCTAAAGTTCCAGACTAAGGACTTCCTTCCTTCCTTCCTTCCTTCCTTCCTTCCTTCCTTCCTTCCTTCCTTCCTTTCTCCCTTCCTTTTTCTCTCCCTCCCTCCCTCCCTTCCTTCTCTCTCAAGCCCCAGTCCTGTTACTAACACATTTATTTTCAGAATAAATGGGAGGGACCATTCCAGGAAGGTCAAACCCCAGAGCATAAACAGGAGCTCATGAAACTTGTGGGCTGAGGAAGGACCAACAAAGATGAAGCTGCCAGCTCCCTCCTCTGCATGGTGCCAGGGTCTCTTTGCTCACCCAGAAGCCCCATGGAGGCACTAGATGTTTGTAGCTGGAGCTATCTTGTCCAGTTTAAAAGACCTCTCAAACGCAGAGACCACCAGCAGACGGAAGCCCAGGTCTATGGGGTCTCAGCAGAGACTTGCCTCCAGAGCCAGCCCAATGCCACCTCCTCCAGTGAGCCCACCTAGCTGATCTTGGTAGGGAGAAATGCTCAGGCTTGACAGGGATATGTCCCCTGTTTGAGTGTGGCCACGACTTGAGTTGTCTCTTGACGAGTTTTCTGCCTCATTTAGTCCCAGGTCCCCAGGGAGTGTCCACTCGGCTCATGGCCCATAGTATCATGTAAAAAAGATCTGGTCAATAACTCAGATGTGTCCCACACCTATGGCCCAGGGAATATGCTTCAGAGAAACACAGCTTCATAACCCTATGGAGCCTCCTTCTGGGGCCCTCACTCCCATGTACCCAGGCAAGACGGCAAATGAACACTATCTGCACTGACCATTACAACCATGACCCGCCAAGGATGCAACCTGCAGTCCTGCCTGTGCCCACTCTTTCCTAGACCCTACATGGGTGGTGCAGCTTAAAGGTTCAAGTGTTCATGACTTTAAGAAAGCTGATCCACAGGACAGATAACCACCAGGAAACTCTGGTCACCGTCCTGCAAGTGCCCAGAAGGTGATGCCTTGGTCTTCCATTTAGAACAGCCCAAAGTTTTTCCTGGACCCAGTGAGGACTCAAGACCTGGAGGTTGTCCTTTCCTAGTGATCACTGAGTCCCAACACAGGCCAGTGTGTTCAGGGACTTCCTCCAGCTAGGTAAAAAGAAGCCTCAGCAATCTCCCCACCAGGACTCAGCACCCATAAGTGAGTCTCAAATGGGCACAAGCCACATTCAAAAGCCTGTTTGTTGGCCTTCTCATGGAGTTAGTGCCTGCCACTTCCAAAAGCCAAGGCCGAGGCCATGGCTGGAGTAGTGAGGCTAGAGTGATGTCCCTCTTGCTGACTTGTTCTAGAAAGGGCTCCTGGGCAGCTGTAGAGCACATGGGAGCTCAGAGTCTCCTGGCAGTGGGTCCTGTCTGCCCCTTCCCCATGCTCCAGGCTCTGCCTGCTATGGCCCCTTGCAGGAAGTGGCTGGCCCTTGTGAGCTGGTGCAGCCCAGCAGCCGGGTTGTCCAGCCTACATGCAGGAGATATCTGCACCTGCTGTGGCCAGGCTAGAGGTTGGCATAGAAGGCAAGGCTGGGGTGGGAGGAGCAGGAGGCCGGCCAGTGTCTACAGAGGCAGAAAACTACAAAAGCAGCCGAAATCAGGAGTGAAGGCTGGAGGAGGCAGGAGAGACTCAGCCAGGAATGTGGGGCTGGGGCAGGAAAATAAAAATAAAACCAGAACGCTACTCCAAGGAAATGAAATTAAAAGGAGGGAGAAACAGGAAGGAACGGTGAGCAAGGTTATGAGTTGAAAAAGCTAGAAATTAAAAGTTTAGGGTTGTGTAGGTGACCAGGGAAGGAGGAGGGAAGGTAAGAGGCTGAAATCAAACCAAGGGACAGAAATGGTACCTAGGTATGTCCGAATCAAGAAACTGCCTGCAAAACACAAACAACCACACGTTAGTGAAGGCTGCAGGTGGGCAGCGGGACAGCAGGTTAGCAGCAGCAAGCGGCAACGGGGGCAGCCGCCTGAGGCTGGCAGACCCATTCAGGGCTGGGGGCTGCAAAGCAGGGACCATGGAGCAGGGAGAGGCCCAGGTATGGCAAAGCGCATGGTAGCCTGAGGCCCTGGGCAGAGCTAGACCAGGCCCAAGCCTCAGCCTCTGTATGGTGGCTGGTCTCTGAGCAGCCTGGCCATCAAAGTCTCCTAGGATGTCAGCCATGTCCAGGGAACAGGAAGCTGGCCCAGTGGGCCCTGGGGGAGGGAGGTCATGGGCTAAGGAGCGTGCCTGAGGCTTTTCTGGGGTAGGGAGGGCTGGGGTTGCACCAGCGGGAACAGCAAGGGCAGGAGCCAAGCGAGGGGCCTCATCTGTCTTCCCTTCTGGTATCCAGGGCCTCCATCCTAGGTGTGGGGTTGGAAGGGGAATAGGATGGAAGCTAGTCAGTCCAGAGCCAGGGCTGAGGCTGTTTAACCAAAGTTCTGTCAGCTGAGGGACAATGAGTCTTGGCCTCCTAGTTGTCCTCTGCCTAGCCAGGGTCAAAGACAGCTGGGCTGATAGGGGAGTGAATGACAAGAAGACACCAGCAACAAGGTCTTCAGTACAAGGAGACAGCTAGAAAGGGAGGCCTAGAAGGCTCCCACTTACCCACTGACCTCTTGGTCCCATCCCTCCCCCTTGGCTCCCAGAATGTCTTGCAGTGGGTGGTCAGAGGTCACGGGGGTTAAGTTACTCCCAGACCCCAAAGCACCTCTTAGCACTCAGTGGCGGACAGGCCCTACCAGCTCCTGCTCCTCCCTCTCGGGCCCTTCACTCCCATGCTTAGGCTTAGGAGCCTATACTATATTAGGAGTCATAAGGCCCTCTGCCTCAGTAGGGTGCATTTGCAGAACAAGAGGAGAAGGAAGACCAGAGGAAGCTCTAGGTCCCAGCTCATGTCATAGTCTGGCTCCCCTCCTACTCCCCAATATGAGCTCCAGCCTATCCCTCACAGTGCCGTCTTCCCAAGAAAATACCTCCAGAAGTGCAGGGTGGGGACCAGACCCACATGTGTACACCCTAGTTTCTGTCCTGTCCTGTCCTGTCCACTCTCTCCACTGCTGCCCAGCCCTGGCTCCCCACTGAAGCTGTCTGTGGTACTTTGGGGAGGACCTCTTCTGGTCCCTCCTCAGGGCCATCAGAAGTGGAGCTCTGGACCCAGGAGCTGGAAGAACCCAGGCCACTCCCAGGACTCTGGGTCCATACAACCCCTCACAGTGGTGTGATCCTCCTGCGCCTCTCCAAGGGTGTCACACCCTCAAAAAATGTTTTGCCACAGATAGTCTCAGCTATAGCTCCTGGGTCAGCTCTTGGTTCCTTGGCACTGGGTCAGGCTGAGTCACTGAGGAAGAACCAGGCTGGGGCTCAACCCCTGCCAAACATCCACAAATCTTTGGAAGACTGTGTCCCAGGCAATTTTGTCCAGTTGGGCATCCACCCTCACAGGATGACTCTGGCCCTTGGCAGCCTTTGTGTGACCTCTGTCATACCCATGCACCTCAGCAAAACCCTCAGGGCTGCCAAGAACATCTCAGGGGTCCATCACTCTACTGTTCAAGTGAAATGGGAGTTGGGACTCTCTGGAGCTTGGAAAGTGATGAGAAGTGTGTGTTAAGTGGTGACCCACGGTCACGCCTCTGTTCAAGCTGCCAACTCTGTGGACTCTGGACAGCCTCCTTGCTCCCCACCCATCCCCGGGATCCCTGTCAGAGGCTTCAGACCTGTCCATAGCAGTGTGGTCCTCAGAAACCACACTGTGGTAGTCTCCCACCCCATGTCAGCAACCATCCACCCACAAACTCCCAGGGACAGGACTCAGCCCACGCTGGCCCTCATCAGGTGATAGGATGATATGAATGTGTAAACCAGAGATGGGGAACATGGAATCAAGGGAGCAGAGAGACTTAGAGGCCACAAGCCACCACTCACTGCTCTGTCCCTCTAGGTGTCAGAAAGAGGGTGTAGGCCTGGAGCTGGCCACGGCATGAGTGGCTGGGTCAGTGAGACCATGGCAGGCTGGCAGGTGACCCATGTGGGGGCTGGTCAGCAGGAGTCATGGTCCTCCCACCCTTCTGTGACTCACCGGTCGTCCTGAGCTGGGTGAACATATCCTGATGACAGGATGTTGAGGGACAAGATGTTGGGGTCAATCAGAGATTCGTCGGTTTCTGGAGTGTTTCTGATGCGACCTGTGGGAAGGGCGGCGGCTGTGTGTCATTGCCCAGGAAGGCTGGCTGCCCAGGTATGCTGAGGCCTCTGCACGGAAGCCAAGGTGGCAGGTGCATTCCCTATCTGACTGTTGGCCAGGCAGTAAAAGACACTAGGGTGGGCAGGGAGGCTGATGGGGACCTGGGGGCTCCTGTGCCATGGCCAGTGTCTCCCTCCTGTCTCCTCCAGCAGAGGGCTGCATTCTATTCTTCAACTCTAATCACACTTCCTTCCTGGTGGATCTCAGCTGCCCAGCTTAGTGAGCTCAGCGCTTTCCACCTGTGCTACAAGGAGACCTAAGCCAGATGAGGGGAGAGCCTACTCCATTTTACACCTAAAACAACAATAATGAAGGGGAAAGTAGCATTGTCCGTGTGTATGCTCTTCGTGCACTAGCCAGTCTTCTGGGCCTAGGAGTCCATCTGTCTGTCTGTGAGACAGACACTTCATCTCATAATTCCTCAACTTGGAAGCAGCTTCCGGCTCATTTAAAGGAAGCAGGCAGATGGCTCACAAGTCCTCTGCTCTGGCAACAGAGTGGCCAGCTTCCCTCTCTTCCTCTGCACATTCTGGGCAGTCCTGCCGGGTTCCCTGAAGCTCTGCAGCATGAGGATTCTAGGAGGAGGCAGTTTGGGGTTTTTCAGCCAGTCCTTTCCTGATGCTAGACTCTCCAGTGCTTGGGATACCATGACAAGGAGGAGTTCAGGGCAAGGAGAGCCTGCCCAGAGCAGATACTCAGCCCTAGGGAACGGGCCTCCATAGAGCTCTCTGCCTGAGGGTCTGATGGCATACTTGGGCAGGACACAAGATGGAGGTGGGGACTGAGCTAGCGTCATCTATATCCGTCACAGGGCCACCTATATGGAGCTCATGGCCACCAGGGTCTCTTGTCTTTCCTCCATTTTGCTCGTCCCTCTGCACAATGTCCACTTCACAGAGCCTAAACGACCTATGCCTTCCAGGAAGGGATTCTAGACTGGGGAGCAGCTATAACCTCAATGGACTCAGTGTTCCCAGCAGTATCTCCCCTACTTCTGTTAGGTCCCCATTGCCACCCCAAAATCAGCAGCTTTTGGTATCTGCATTTTTAGAAGAGGAGAGGAAGGTGAGATTTAAGGCATTCTGGGCTGCCCATCTGAGAGGGGGGACATAGTGGGTGGGACACCACTGGATGACAGCATAGGCAGGCTGGCCCCATTCCAGAGATAGCTTGGTTTGAAAGCCAGGTGCTAGACCTGACCTCAGTCTTGGAATTGGTTCAGTTTGGACTTTCCCCATAGGACACTCTGACCACTGGTTTCATGCCTTTTCTGATCCCTGACAAAAAACTTGTAAAACACAAGTGTCCATCCTGGTAACTAGACCAACCATGCACAGGCCTGTATGTGGGGACACAGGACAATGGGTCAGTCTAAGGACATCGGTCCTGAGATCCTGCCTACCCAGGACTGGGGAGGAGCTTCTAGATAGATATGTCTCAGCTGCAGGGTAGAGGAGCTACGTCCTGGGATGGATATCTACCCACGTCGCCAAATGAAAGTCTGGAGGACAGCTTAGTAACGCAGAGCTCAACAGAGACAGCTTAGTAAAGCAGAGTTCAACGGAGGAGGTCACAGAGAAAGACAGTGTTCTTGCCCTTCCTAACAAGGTGTGCTGGAGTCCCGACCGCGTAGCCCAGCAGTGTTACCAGCCAAGCTGAAGTTGTCCTGGAGTGAGTGTGGGAGCCCTACTGTCACATGTCTGATGCCATCAAAATGCATGGAGCCTGCCCTGTAAAGCCGAGGACTGCAGTAGTCTTCCACAAGCTAAGGACACTCGGGACTATAGCCACCTCCCTAGACCAGGCAAAGCAGAGAAGGACCCTGCAGTGCCCCAGACAGCATGCTTGTTGCTGGCACACTGATTTCCAGAACTGTGACACCTGGTAGTCTTCTGTTGTCTTAACCATTTAGTTGTGGTTTCTGTTTCAAAGACATGGGAAGGGCAACACAGATTAGGTAGAAACTTGGGGCTATAACACAGACCCAGGGTTCTCCCTTTCAGGCAATGGGCTGAGGCACAGAAAGGCTTCGTGACCTAGCCAGAGTCACACAGCACAGGGCAGAACTGTAGTTAGAACCCAGGGTTTTGTCCAAAATAGCCCACTCTTGAGATAACCCCTGCCTGCTCTACTCACCCACAACCAGCTCTCGAACTTCCTTCCAGCGGATGTGGCTTCCTGTCTCATGCAACAGTGTCACGGTGATCCGTCTCTGAATGCCCTGCCACATGCCAGGAGGGGGAATAGTCAGGTGACACTGAGGATACAAGGGATTTCAGGGTGGGGCAAGGCTAGAGGAAGGCAGGTAAGGCTTCCCACCTGGTGGAGAAGGAAGGTCCCCATGCATGGCATACCGCCTCGGTGATCTACCACAGCGGGGATGTAACTGGAAAAGACGGTGATGGTGAGATGCAAACCCCCTCCTCTCCCCCCCACCCCCGCCATAACACAAATCCTGGCCCCAGAGTCAGTAGAGCTGAAAACGGGATCATTGACCAGGTCCTTCTGGGCTGGCTCTCTACAACAGTTCTTGTATTTTCCATCCTACACTACAAGTCAGAAATTACACCAATGACCTGGGTATGGATATGTCGTGGCTTCTGTGCTCCATGCCTCAAGACTGGGACACTCGAGCAGGACCTGGTCCCAGGCCTCTGCTGACATCGGCTCAGAGTCCCCTGACCCTCCTTTCCCATGTCAGTCACTGTGGATTCTCAGCTGCTTTGAGAACACCATTCCCAGTGCCCTTCTCCTCTTTAATCAGACTCTTGGACCCCAAGCTGGTGCCCCACATGGGCACTCTGGGTACCACTCACTCGCCATTGGCTTCCAGCTCGCAGATCTCGAAGTAGACCAGCAGGTCATACTTGCAGTGGCAGGGACCTGGGGAAGGCCGTGTCATCGTACTGAGCTTAGTGGCAGGCACTAGGAAGATGAGAAAACAAGGTTGTGAAGGGGTTACTCAAGGAGAGAGCAACAAAGCTGCATAGACAACAACTTGCCCAAACAGAGGCGCCCGACTGGCGTACCCATGCCCAGGTCACACCTAGACCTGCACAGTCAGGCATGAGAAACATGGCACTGGTCTCAGGTGTGTGGCCACTGAACGCTCTCTACACCCAAGTAGGAGTGCGTGGCTTCACACAGCTGGGTATGAGGGTGGTGGCTTGAGACTCCACCACGAGGGCAGCAGAGGCACTGCTCAGTGTCCTATCACATGCACAGGACCCCTCTGCCTGGTCTGAGCTACACTTGGCCACAGCAAAATGAATCAGTCCAAGTATGTCTTGCTAGCATCCACACCTCTTCCTGCTGGCTCTCTAATATGTCTACCTCCCGACGGCTTCTGCCCACACCACCCCCCCACACACACACACATACACACATTCCGGGGTCCAACCATGTCTGTCCACAGGGCCCTTCCTCTACTAGTGCTGAGTGCTCTTCATACTACCTGTCACTGGGACTAAATGTCTCCCTTGTGGACAGTGCTGAACAACAGAACACAAAGCCAAAATCTATACATTCCACAGAACAGACGGCATCTGCTATGCCATCTGCACCCTGAAAGACCATTACATTCGCAGCAGGTCCAAACACACTTGCACCCATGGAGTAGGCCTTAGCTTCCCCACTGGACTCAGGAGAACCTCACCTACCTGGCTTGGACAGCGGCATGACCCGGGGGAAGTGGCGACGTGAGGGCCTCAGGGGGCTGTGGAGGAAAGGCAGAGTGAGCAGACCTAGCTGGTGTCTGTGAGTCCTGGGGCAGCCCAGGGCAGGGTGGGCTGATCAGAAGTGCATTCATGTGTCCCTTATTTCCCTGTCCTGTCAGACTCAGGGAGATCCCAGGTCTCTGTACATGCTTAGATATGAAAGGAGGAACTCGTAGGGTCATAGACACCATTCCAAAGGCTCCATGAGGTCCCAGAGACTCAGTGCCCCAAATAATCTCAGTTGCCTCCCTCTTTTGTTCCCACAGCCTGATTATCGCTCAGCTGTGAGGTCTACTCTGTTGAAGAGAGATGGATGGAGCTGGAGAGGAACAAAGGCTTATCAACGCATCTCCAGTCCTTGGGGTGGCTGGCATTCCCATCCCACCTCCTGGACCCAGGGTGAGATGGCTTATAGGTACCTTAACCTCACACCCCAGCCTCTTGAGACTTCCCTCTGCTCCCTCCCCCCAAAGAATGAGGGAGTTGGACAGATGTTCCCTTCCTGGAAGTGGCCAGTGGGCAGCAAAAGCTGGTTATGCCCTGGATGCTTCCCAAGCTTGGTTGATGGTCCAGGCTCTGACAGCAATGGTCCTTAAGAACCCAGTTCCAAAGGGGAGAGAAAGGTACGGGCTGGGCTATGCTCTGACCATCCCTGACAGCTAACGAGAGGGCATCAGGTACATGGGCTCTGTAGCCTGGAGACAGGGACACTTGGGTGACCTAGGCAGATGACCTGAGCACATCCTTGCAAAGAGGTGGGAATGGGTGCTGCTGGTAGTGGCCGAAGACCTCAAATACAATGGGCTGGCTCTTGATGTACTCGATGAAGGACTTGGTCACCTCTACCGCAATCTAGAAGGGAAAGAAGGAAGGCATGAATCGTATCTCAAAGTGCCCAAGAAAACGCAGCACTATAGGCCCTGCCCTCAGCATCAGTTCCAGCCATGACATCCCTGGAAGTTCTGAGTCCGTGTCTGCTCAAGGATCACTGTGAGCAGTTTTCAGGAGCTCTATTCTGACCCTAGGCTCCAATTTTAAACAGCACAGATCCCCCTGCTACCTAGCTGTAATGTCAGCATCCCCACATGGCACTGGAGGGTCTATAACCTGGTGCCAGACAGCTCCCAGAACAGTTAGCTCAGAGGAGAAAGAATGTATGGGAAGGGAAAAACACACTTAGCCTTGTAGAAGGCCCTTGGGTGTTGGAGGATAAGGGCTAGGACCTACATTTTGGACATGGTAGAAGCCAAGAGGGGGTCCCCTGCCAGTGTTCTTCAGGGGCTCAGTGGAGAAAGCCTCATCATGGCGGTGAATAAAGCTGCAGATCAAGAAGAGGAAGTTGGGGTGAGGACTTGCAGTAAGGACCTGTGGCCTCACTGGGCATCACGTGACCTCCATGGCCCCCAGCACAGCCTACGTGGTTGCACCTCCCTCAGGAGAGCATCCTACTTCCCAGCAGCCCAGGGAACAGACAACAGGCTCACTTGAACTGGCAGAAGATGTCGGCATATTCGGCAGAGATACTGGATGCCTGCAGGACTGTTACACGGAAGGTGAAGGTGCTGCCCAGACGGAGGTGGTCCAGGGCTGTGTCCAGAGGCCCATCCAGGGCAGTCTTCTCAGGGCTATCTAGGAGGCCTTCAGGAGTCACAGCTGTTGGGAGCAGAGCGATGGAGCCTCTACTCTAGATTCTGTGCTCTTCAAGCCCTGCTCCCACAAATCCGTGTCCCACACAGTGGGGCTGCACCTACCTGAGCAGGTGTTGTTGTTGACCTCATCAGCTGAAGGCCCAGAGTCGGCACCCTGACCCTGGCCTTCTACAATGCGCAGCTCCTCCTGGGAGGTCCCTGAGCGGGACATCCCTACCACAGGGCAGGACTCAGACTGGAACTGTGAAGACATAGAGTTAGAGAAAGCCGGGAAGCTAGATGGTTAAGTTAAAGCCACCCTGTCACAGCTGTAGAGATCTGTGCACTGGGGCCTGGGTCTCTAGGGCCCTGAACCAGCCTCGTCACTGACCCCCCCAGATGAATCACCCACCCTCTAGGCCTCCACTCCCATTGCCACGAGCAGCCCCCTTTGACTGTCTCGTTCAGATGAGCTGAGGTGTGAACTGTCTGGGAGGAACACACAACCTGCCTCAGTGCCAGAGACATAGTGAAGGGAAACCAGGAACCATTCCTGGCCTTCAGTTGTACCCCCAGGGCACCAGGGAACTTCCTGGGGCAGGCCACAGGCAGACTGCTCCATCTTGGACATCCTCAGACTGAGATCTTGAACCAGATAGCTAAATTAAGGCCATCTAGGGAGGGGCACTGCGTGGGATCAATCCCTCCACTGTCTCCTCAGATAGTCCTTTCTGTGTGGGTCAGAGGGTGGCCACAATGGGGCTGTGCTCATTCTCACAGGACTGGGGGAAGGCAGGAAGAAGGGTGGTGGAAAAAACAGTATGCTGTGGGAACCCCGAGAACAGCTAACCCAAGAAAGGAGAGAATGGGGGTGCCTGTTCTAAAAGCTGCCTCTACTCACCAGCTCTAGGCCTTGCTGTATGAGACTCAGGAAGATGGTTGGACCAAGAGGGTCCTGACAAACTGGGGAAGGGACATTGTGTGTTTTAGACAGCAAGGGATGGGACAGGCACAGTGCTCAGGGAGAGAGGGGGGAAAAGAAAAGACTCCAAGCCCACGGGGCCCTGCCAGAGCTGGCTCTTAGAGCCTAGGGTTCAGTGGAAGGGTTCCTCAGTATACAAGGCAAGCCTTCATAGTACCTTTTCAAAATGCTGGTCGTCAAAGGAGATTTTAGCAGTCCCTGACTGACGGACACCGGAGCCATAATCCGGAGCCTCTTCATCAGCTGCAAGAGGAATGAGCAAGTGATTGGCCAACTTGTTTTCCATAGTGGACAGAGCCAGGCCAAATGGCCCCAGGTGACCAGATTCTTAACTGCAGCCAGCATCACCACCTGCAGCTCTCAGGAGTCACCGGGACACACTGACCACCAGCTTATATTGCCTCAGGGACCCAGAGGGATGTCCTTGTCAAGACCCACGCATCATGAGCCATAAGCCCTACACTGTCTGACCTGTCCCAGGTGTTCGGGGAGAACCCCTCTTGATCCCCTTCACCACCCTCTTGAGAGCCCATGGGCCCTACCATGTCACCTCCATCATGCGACAACTCCTCTGCTAACACCTAGTCAGCTAACAAAGTCTGATAGCCAGGGCTAGTCCCAGTGGGACTCAGTGGATGAGCTGACCCCAACCCATGGCCACAGGGCAGGGCAGGGGTGACTAGATTGTGTTTCCTAAGTTCCTTTCTTCCATTGCCACAGGTAGGGAAATATTAGTTGTGACTCCAAATACAGTAAGATCCAGTGTCTTCATATATGATCTGGGGACCCCAGGTCAGACTTCATCATAGCCTCTCTTCCTGAGAAGCTAGATGGTTAAGTTAAAGCCACCCTGTCACAGCTATAGAGATCTGTGCATTGGGGCCTGGGTCTCTAGGGCCCTGAACCAGCCTCGTCACTGACCCCCCAGATGAATCACCCACCCTCTAGGCCTCCACTCCCATTGCCACGAGCAGCCCCCCTTGACTGTCTCGTTCAGATGAGCTGAGGTGTGAACTGCCTGGGAGGAACATACAACCTGCCTCAGTGCCAGAGACACACCCCTAAGTGAAGACATCTCAGTAACATTCACTTTCCAGCGGTGTGGCCTGGGTGGTATTGAAGTCTGGGCTCTTCTACCAGCTCATAATCCACCCACTCCTGGCTCTCCTTGCTAGACGGGACCTCTGGACCGGCACTGGGCAAGCACTAACAGTCTACAGGTTCCCTTGACTATGGAGAAAGCGGGGGGAGGGGAGGGGGGCAAACAGGCAGTCCATGTCTCTTGGAGGCAGCAAGGCAATCTCTGGGACCACCCTAAGTGTGTGATAGGTGGGGACTCCAAGCCAGTGTAGGAGAGTAGTTTCAGACATCCTGGGCTGCACCCGCATGGCTGAGATGCCCCTATCTAGTCCAGGCCAGCCTAGGAGGCCAGAGCCAAGGGCTCAGCACAGGAGACGTTTCCTTCAAGCCCCACCCGCCTACCTGCCTGGGAAGGGGGTAAGTTTCATGTTGGCCACGGGGAGGCCAGGACGTCCAGGGTAAGGCGAGCTTCATACTGGCTCCTGCACAATATTCTTCCTCCCACCTTTGCCTACAGAGGCAAAGCCCCCCCCTCCCCCTAAGGGACTCAGAGCCACACACACCTGAGATAGCCTGCACCGCCACACGGAGGAAGCCTTTCACCTCTCCCTTCTCGCTGACGATGGCCACGCGGTGCACCAGGGGCACAGGGTACAGCAGGTTGCTCAGGTATACGAAGGCCCTGCAGGAGCAGAGCCATAGTCACAGGTGGCCCTCAGGGTGTGCTTTGAGCTACAGCAGTGACACCAAGGCCGGCTCACACACAACATGAAGCTGCAAAGCAGAGCAAAGC